GGAAAAATACCTTAAACAAAGTCAAAACTAAATCAGTGCAACTCAAGGTCTCCCACTGAGGTTCTCGCTATTTCCCTACTCAAACTAAGTAGACCACTTTTGCTGTTACCACAAAGTTAGAGAAGCCCAAGCTTGGACACCAGTCACCTCAGCTCCTTGTTTTCTATTTTAACCACCGTATTTAATTACATACAATTAAATTCTGCAACAGTTCCTGAGAATAACTCCTCCTAAAGCAGACTTAAACCATTACTATCTTACTATTATTTTGTATCTGAGGACATTGCTAACCAGCTTGACCAGGGCAGAAAAATAAGGAACTATATCCACCCTGCAAAAAATCTAACATTGAAAGACAGTCACAAATCATAGTGTTTCACACAAAGGTGTGGATTTGAAAAAAAAAATCTACAGGTTTTTAGTTTTTCTATTTTCTACTCAGGTCTCTACTGTATGCAGAAGCAGACTTAAGTAGCATAAATCAGAAAATGATAATGGGAACTGAATGAAATCCTCATAAATCACGTTACTAAGTATAGTTACATCTTAGATGTGAAACCCAATTAAACAGATGGCCACATGCTGTCAGAATCAGGCCCTAATCAATAAAGATGTTCATTTCAGAAAATCGCCTCAATTTTTCATTTCTTCAGTGAAGCAAAAAGAAGGCAGTTGGGGCTGGGGTGTCCCAGGAAACCCAGTGGGGAAATCTATAAGAAGGTACTCCACCTGTCTTAATTTGTAGTCCAGAAAAATCAGAAAGGAGAGAGAAAAAAATCGCCCAAAGGATTCCTTGTCATCTTGTCTGGGAATGTAATTTACAATGAGAGCGAACACTGGTCATTAGGAAAATAGAAACAGCTGAATCTCTTAATTAAAATACCACTTCAAATTGTTCATTCCAAACCCCCTCTGCTCATGAGCTTTCCAGAAACCACTGGGTTACCCTAAAATGGCTGCTTCTTCAGTAAACCTCTGATAGGATTGATTCTTCCCAGACAAGGAAAAGGCTGATCAGGGGTGAATCCTGGAGACAGAATTATTATGAGACTTACTTAAATCTTCAAAGGAGCAGTAAATATTCACTGTGTATGGAAACACTTGTGAATAGTCTATTTCAATGCCTTTTCTTTCATAACAGCTGACCTATTACACTCACTATATTGGTAAAAATTAAGTCTACCAATGCCAAGAATGATGAAAATGATAGTTGATGAAAACATTTCCATAGTCTGGAACACTCACATTGGAAAACATTTGGTGTTAGCTAGTAAAGTTGAGTATTTGCATACCCTACAAGCCAGTAATTCCATCCCTAATATAGACTTCAAATAGTTTTTTAGGGGACATGTATGAGAATATACTGAGCAGTGCTGTTCATAATAGCAAAAATATAAGGGGAAGGAAACACATAAATCTCTCACCAGAAAAGATCTGTAAAACAAATAAGTAATCTGGGATACAGTCACACAATGGAATAGTATATGGCAGTGAAAATAAAATAAACTACTGCCACATGCTACATGGATGAATCTTAAAAACATGTTAATTGAAAAAACACATTTGATTAAGATTGCATATCATTCTTACTATTATATGCTACAACATAAATAAAAATAAATATATTATTTAAGGATACTTAAATTATTTACAATTTATTTTAAAAAACAAAATGATAAACACACAAATCAGAATAGTGGTTACCTCTATGGTGTGGGAGAGGAATAAGATGGAAAGGAGCATGGACAGATGCAATAATATTGGGAATGTTCCAGTTCTTGGTTGGGTGGTGGATTCACAGGGATATATTTATCATATGTTTCCTTATATCCTTTATAACCTCATATATTTCAGCATGTTTCATATATTATTTTGTATGTACCAAATCATATATAATAAAGAGATCATATCCAAATTGACTCTCACGCCCTCACAAGATGGCTACCTTCAACTAGGCCAGCAGAGGGTTAATGAGGAACAACCAAACAACTGAACAAGCAAGGCCGGCAGGGGGAGGCAGTTGGGGGCAACAAGGCCAGCAGAAAGGGGCAGTTGGGGGCGACCAGGCTGGCGGGGGAGGCAGTAAGAGGCGACCAGGCCAACAGCAGGGGGTGCAGTTGGAAACAATCAGGCCAGCAGGGGAGGCAGTGAGGGGCAGCTAGGCTGGCAGCAGGGGTAGTTAGGGGTGATTAGGCCGGCATGCAGAGACAGTGAGGGGTGATCAGGCCAGCAAGGATGGAGGGCAGTTAGGGGCAACCAGGCAGGCAGGTAGGTGAGCAATTAAGAGCCAGTAGTCCAGGATTGTGAGAGGGTCCAGGCTGGGCTGAGGGGACCTCCCCACCTCTGTGCACGAATTTAGTGCACCGGGCCTCTAGTATTATATAAAACATTTTCTTTTACCGTGGATAATCTACAGAATTTTCTATTGCCCTATAGGTTATTTCAAGAAATATTATAATTCACATTATATAAATATAATTAATATTATTATCATTTATAATTTATAATTAATAACCCTAATATCATAAGTTTCCATATGCAGCATAGTTTTTAACTTGGAGCTATATTAAAACATCATGCTGTACATTTTAAGTTCAGACAATTTTTATTTGTCAATTATATCTCCATAAAGCTGGGAGGAAGAAAGCAATGGTATTGTCATGATAATAGTGAATACTTGTACAGTAAGGAGTGACATTCAAAATATTCAAAATATTAATAACTGATTTGATTATATAAATTAATGTAAAAATCCAAAATTACCACCATCTGCTTGTTTTCCTTCTGTTCACTACCCTCTCAGACCAGTCCTGCAGAGACTGCCATTCCCAAGTGTGGCCACATGAGGATGACTCTAAAGAGATGTGTCTGCTGGGAGCAGGAGACCACCGCCTCAGGGCTGTCCTCTGTGGCCAGCGAGTCCTGTCCAGATGAGGGCCGGCATGAAGGGTGTATTGCGAGCGTGCAGGACGCCTCAGTAAGAAGGTAGCATTTGAACAAATATTTGAAGGAACTGGGAGTGTGAACCATACGGATCCCTTAGGGAAGTTTTCCTACTCAAAGAGAGTCCAGAGTATAAATGTCAGGAGGGGTCTCATGCATTAGGACCAGGAGGGAGGCCCATGTGGCTGGGACAGATAGAGGTAAAGGCAGCCTGGTCAGAGGCCCCTGGCCATTGTAAGTAGCTTGGCTTCTAATCTGAATAAGATAGAAAGCTGATAACAGGTTCTGAGCAAAGGAGGAAAATGAGGTGATTGTGAAACATCTTAAAATGGCTGAAATATTATATTTAGAAACAGGGATGCCAGAGAGGAGGTGCTTACTGGTATGGAGAGCATGGTCAAGAGTGGCAAGTCTTTATAAATTCCATCCCCCACATTCAACAAACAGCATAGAGATGTGCTTAAAACCATGAGATTAGATGTTATTGCTAAGCAAGGGAGTGAAGATGGAAACCAGAAGATGTGTGTGGGGGGTGGGGGGGATAGGGGAGGTGAGAAACCTGCAAGGGCTCAAGCAGGAGAGGACCACCTTCTCCATAACAGGTCACTACCAGCTTGAACTCATCATTTGTCATTCTCATAAATGTCAAATAGAATTGTCCTGCATGCTTCTGAACCTCGTTTATATAGTAACATACTCAGTATATTTCCGGAACCAAGTTGCTTTTTCCACCACACAACCGAATATCTGTGAGGCTCATCCATGTTAATGCATGTCACTCTAGGTCACTCGTTCACTGCATTGTGGCATTCCTTTGTGTAAACATGCCACATTTTTTTAAAGTATGTTTTATTGATTTTTTACAGAGAGGAAGGGAGAGAGATAGAGAGCTAGAAACATTGATGAGAGAGAAGCAATGACCAGCTGCCTTCTGCACAACCCCCACGGGAGATGTGCCCGCACCAATGTACATGCCCTTGACCAGAATCGAACCTGGGACCCTTCAGTCCGCAGAACGACGCTCCACCACTGAGCCAAACCGGTTTCGGCTAGTAAACATGCCACATTTAATTCATTTTCCTGTGGAGGGACACATAGCTGATTCCCCTTTTCCTGTTTTATAAACAATACTGTTATGAGCCTTCGCACATGGGCCTCACTATATGAAACTTCTTTAGGGCAATAGTTCTCAAACTATGTTAGTGTCACCTAGAGAGCTTAATCAAAGAGATTTCTGAGCCATGTCCAGGGTCTGTGAACAATAGGTCTACAGTGCATTTTAACAAGTTCCCCCGCGATGTTCTTGCTGTTGTACCAGCACCACACTTTGAGAATCACAGCACTAGGGCGCATGCCAAGAGTGCAAATGATGGTCAGAGATATACATGCACAACTTCAACCTTCTACATTGCCAAATTGCTCTGCAAAGTGAGTGAACCAATTTATACTTTCACCAGCAGTGAATGTCTGTCCTGTGTGCCAACGCTTGGTGCTGTCAGATTTTTAATTTGTGCCAATCAGATCTTTAATAATTTTTAAACTTATCATGGCATTTATAATAACTAGTACATATATCCACAGCATGTAAATGAAAGGAAGTCAAGGCTTTGTATCCTAGGGTTAATAACAACATTTCTAAACTTTTCATATATATATTCCCCTCAGGTTCTACAATCTCCCAGTTATCTGCTTGTTTTTCCACTCAATCCTAAAAATAAACAAAATGGTATAGACAAAATCAGTAAGACAATTCTGAAAGAAAAATGGAAACTTGTTTCTTTTCGTGGCTAACTTCGTTGTATTTTTAGTTATTACAGTTGGGGTTGTTGTTTTTTCACTCAATGGTCATATAAAGCTTTAAAAAACTTGTAAGGTGAAGGGAGTGAGGAAAATTGAAAATTGTGCATATGGGTATGGAAACAAACTTCTTTCACCAAAATACCTCGTCACTTTTGGGGGGAGGAAAATAGAAAATGCCCTACCCTTAATCATAGTCATGGAAAAGTTCCCTCCATTTTGTACCAGATTAACAAGGAGGAGAGAAGCTGAGTACTCACGGATCTGGTTGGTGGATGCACTATAGAAGGCATTGACCGTCGTTGGATTTGTAAACCACCTGTAGCAAGAGAAACAAATATCACCAAGGGCTCATCATTATCCAGGCAGGAGGGCAGAAGAACAAACATAATGTTAACCAGGTAACAATGGGGAAATGATCGCTTCAATTTAGGGCTATTGCTCTGCTCAATAAACAATCTCATCCTAAACTGAACATGGGTCAATGAAAATATATTAACATGCCTGGTTATCTGCTATTACTAACTACAGAGAAAGTCAGCACCAGTGCTTCTGAAACAGTTTAATGAGAAATCCTAGACTCTTAACGGGCTCTCCCTGCAGATGGAAACATGGCAACAAGCTGATGCTTGCCAGGCCCTGTTTAATGGGCCCATGGGACAGCTGAGTTACTATGTGGCGTAACCTCTGACCTGTCCATGTTAAAAAAAATTTTTTTTGGAATAGTGTTAACACAGAGGTCCATGTAAAGAAAGATTAATAGCCGAAATCGGTTTGGTTCAGTGGTAGAGCGTCGGTCTGCGGACTGAAAGGTCCCAGGTTCGATTCTGGTCAAAGGCATGTACATTGGTTGTGGACACATCCCCAGTAGGGGCTGTGCAAGAGGCAGCTGGTTGGTGTTTCTCTCTCATCGACGTTTCTAGCTCTCTATCTCTCTCCCTTCCTCTCTGTAAAAAATCAATAAAATATATTTTTTTAAAAAGAAAGATTAATAAAATACAACTATAATACCCAGAGTATCTGTCTATTCTGGTGGAAAGTTTACTGATTTAGCCACCAAAAGATCAACTGACTCATCCTGCCACTCTCACCAACTAGCTGGGCCATGGTGGAACAGTCGCCTACTTTCTGAGGTTCGGCTTTAGCTATGAAAGTAAGGTTGCATTAGGAGATCTTGGGAGTACCTTCCCGCTATGAAAAATCTACACTCCACTTGGAATATAGCTCAGGAAAAAGAAATTTCTGTGAAGAGTCATATGGTAAACATGTAGGTATTTTGCAAAGAGGCAAAATCAAGGATGTTATACAGGTTCTTCTATAGTGAGAATTTTTTCCACAAATCTTTAATGAAATTCAAAACATAATAACCATGTACAATTTTTTGTAATACAGGACTATTAATAAAAGAATGAAATTCTTTTAGTGCAGGACAACATTTTGCCTAATTGGGGTTCAAAGTTTGTGCTTTGCATCATCAAATCAACTACAAACACTTATCTCTAAAAATCATTCTTAGCTCATGAGCCATACAAAAACAGGCAGCAGGCAAGATTTAGCCACAAGCCAGAGTTTTCCAACCCTTGACTCAGATGACTGTGAGTTTCAGCCACTTCTGTTTATGATTAAAACAAAGCAATTTGTTTGAAGCTAAATTGCTTAATGTAAATTCCTTTTCAGAACAATCATTTTACTCATTTATGTTTAATAGAATAATTATGTATGTCAGTAATCTGAAACTAGTAGGAAATCTAAGTATTGATTCTAATTGGCCCACCCATACCTTCTCTCCATCTATAAAGAAGTCCATGAATATATCATTCTATTATTATTATTATTATTATTATTATTATTATTACTACTACTACTAGAGGCCCATTGCATGAAGAGATTCCTTCCTTCCCTTGGCTTCCAGCACTGGTTTTCCTCCAGCATCCAGGACCCAGGCCTTCCTCTGCCTTCTTCGTCTTTGCTGCAGATTCCAGAGTCTGCAGTCTTGTCTTCGCTGCTGTGGCACTCTGATCCTGTAGATTCCTTCACACCCCTTTCCCCACCCTCCCTCTCACAGCAGGCGTCCTGCCCCACCTGGCCACTCTGTGCCTGAAGCACCCTGGGCATCAGCAATCTTTGGCCTTCTAATTTGCATACTCACTCTGATTGGCTGTGGAAGTAACAGAGGTATGGTCAATATAGACGTTTGTCTATTATTAGGTAAGATTAGCTAATATTCACTGAGCAATTACTGTGTCCTCGGCACTTCCTATTGATAGGTTTTTCCCCACAGCAACTATAACAATTATTATCCCATTACACAAATGAAGACAATGAAATTTACAAGCATTATATAATTATACAAAGCCTGATCAGTCTGTTCTTCAAACCAGTTTCTCTGGTTTAATAATGGAAACATTATTGGATATCAAGAAAGAGTGTGTCCCTTCTCTTGTCAAAACTTAAACCTATACTCTCTTCCATAAGTGTATATTCTTTTCATTCAACTTTAATATTCATATTTCAAAGGTCTTAATTATTAACACAAAGTTACTGACTGGACTATTTTCCTGGGGAAATAAGTGGATATAAAGCACCTTTATTTGTTGCTATCTATAGTAGGTAGAATTATGGCTCCCAAAAAGATATCTACATACTAATCCCTGGGTCCATACTAATCCCCCCATCCCATTTCATGGCAAAGAGGACTGCAGAGTAATTAAGTTTAAGGACCTAAAAATAGGGAGGTTATCCTGGATTTTCCATGTGTTCCCATTTGAATCACATGAGCTCTTAAGAGCATTAAACCTTCTCTGACTGGAATCTGAGAGATGCAACACGGAAGAGGAGGAAGTCCGAAGAGATGCTACACAACCAAGTCCAGTGATTCCAAGACTGAAAAGGATTCCACACACTCTTTCTGGCTCTGAGATGTAGGAGCCATGTGCAAGGACCAAAGAGAGACTTCAAGTGAAGAGTGGCTTCCAGCTAGCCATAACGAAGGAAGGAGGAACCTGAGTTCTACAACCACAAGAAACTGAATTCTGCCAACACCTGATGAGACTGGAAGAGGCTTCTTCGCAGAGCCTCCTGCTAAGGGCCTGCCCAGCTGACACCTTCATTTCAGCCTTGCAAAACGTGGAGTCAAGAAATCAGCCAAGCCAATCCACACTTCTAATCTACAGAACTGTGAAATAATACATTTGTGATTATGAGTTGCTATGGTTGCGGTAATTTATTACAGCAGTAATATAAAAATAATACATTACTCAAAGACCCAGGCATTTCTATGTCTGCTTTTTGGGTCAAAAGTAGGAGAATCCAGGTATATATGTCAACTTGTCTTTTAAATAACATTAGACAGAAATATAATATGTTCAAAAGATTAAGTGTATTCCAAGAGCTCAGCCCTTCTCTTCCTATCCTCCCAACTCCTCTCCCTTGTGCAAAGAATAAACTTTCAGAATATCAGGGTAACAGCCATACAAGGAAAACGTTTCTAACTGCTGATGGATCAAGATGGACAAAACAAGGAAATCAAACAACCACATGGATGCTCTAAAGCACATGTGTCAAACACAAGGCCCGCGGGCCAAATCCGTCCCGCCAGGCCTTGCAATGTGGCCTGCACCGCGCTGTCATCACTGCACTCCGCTGCGTTTCCATCACAATGACAGTTTATGACTGTTCAGTAAACCATTCGGCCCACGATTTAGGCTGGATTTTAGATGTTGGCCCCTTCTCTGATTGAGTTCGACACCCCTACTCTAAAGCTTCAGCAAGAATACCTAAAACATCTTATTTCAGATACATGACCTCAGCTTTCCTAACCTCCCAGAGCTCTTGCTGATTCTAAGGTATATTTGGAGCCTTGATTATACCCAGAGCTCATATCAGTTGTGGATGCTATTATTTCTTACTAGAGGCCTGGTGCATGAATTCAGTCACAGGTGGGGTCTGGCCACCAGCCCCAATAGGGGCTGATCCGGGCCAGGCTGGCAGGGGGGTGGGGATACAGGAGGTTGGCTGGCCAGCACTAACTCTGATCAGAGTGGGGGGCCAATCGGGGGCACGGATGGATGGGGGGAGGAGCTGTGGGAGGTTGGGGACACCGATCAGGGCCCCTATCTGGCTGGTTGGCTACCGTAGTGCTCATAGCGACCAGTCATCCCAGTCGCTTAGTTTTTATATAGATTGGTCAGTGCCCATGCCAAAGCATTTGTTAAATATATATACATATATATATATATATATATATATATATATACACACACACACACATATATATATATATGTATATATATATATTTATATATATTTATATATATTTATATATTTATATATATTTATATATATATTTATGTCTCAGGAAAGTCATAATATACTGCCATCTGTGAAGAATAAGCCAAATTGCTGTTGGATGTGTTATTCACAGAGGAGCCATTCTTCAGGCACTCTGCTCTCTTTATACCCAATTAAATATTTTCTATATCTCCTAAATATTTTCTAAACTTATTACATCCAAGTTTATTATGTACTAGAGGCCTGGTGCATGAAATTGGTGCATGGGGGGGGTGACCTCAGCCCAGCCTGCATCCTCTCTAATCTGGGACCCCTTGAGGGATGTTCAATTGCCTGTTGAAAAAAACAGGCAGTCGAACATCCCTCTCAAAATCTAGGACTGCTGACTCCCAACCACTAGCCTGCCTGCCTGGTTGATTGCCCCTAACTGCTTCTGCCTGCCAGCCTGATCACCCTCTAACCACTCCCCTGCCAGCCTGATCGACACCTAACTGCTCCCTGCTGGCCCAATTGTCCCTAACTGCCCTGCCCTGCCAATCTGGTTGCCTCTAACTGTCCTCCCCTGCAAGCCTGCCCCCACAACTGCCCTCCCCTGGAGGCCTGGTCCCCCCCCAACTGCCCTTCCCTGTAGGTCTCAGTCCCCCACAACTGTCCTCCCCTGCAGGTCTGGGTCCCCCCAACTGCCCTCCCCTACTGGCTTGATCACCCACAACTGGCCTCCCCTGCCGGCCATCTTGTGGTGGCCATCTTGTGTCCACATGGGGGCAGCCATCTTTGGCCACATGGCGGCGGCCATCTTGTGTGTTGGAGTGATGGTCAATTTGCATATTACTCGTATTAGATTAGATTTAGTTTTATTATTCTCTAATATAAGGCAACCTGTGCTAATTCTAATCTGTGTTTGCAATTTGTTTTACATCCTCCCATTAAGAGGTGAAATCTAAGCTCCTCTCCTCTTGATTATGGGTTAGCCTCGATGACTCACTTCTAAAACATACACTGCAGTGGACAATGACACCATGTAACTTCCAATGCTAGGCAGTTAAGGGTGATAAAACCTCTCTCCTCAACCAGGTGATCACATGTGCTGCCCTCCCTCACTCTGTCCTTCTTAGGAAACTTGCTCTTTGAAGTTTCTTGCTCAATCAGCATGCTATAAAGCAGCTCAGTACCCACAGAGAGCTGCAGCAGGCATTCCAGCCAACAGCCTGCATTAACCACTAGACCCGAGAGAGGAAGCCTTTCATGTAACTCCAGTCTCAGTCTCTGTATGACTGTGAGTTACATGAAAGACCATGAGCAAGAACCATCCAGATGAGCCTAGTGACCTCCAGAGCCACAAGAGAGAATAAGCAATTACTGTTGTTTTAACCCTCTAAACTTTAGGGTGGCTTGTTATATAACATTATATAATTGAAATACTGAAAAGTTAGCTGTCCAGAGACTAAGTGCAACCCAATAGGTCAAATTTTTTTTTCATAAAAATGTTTCATTTGCCCAACACAATGGTTTTAAAAGGCACTAAATTAGAAACCCTTAAAATGAGGTTTATGATCTCTAGTGTTCCACAGTACACTCCAATCCCTACATTTACACCTGTCTAGGCCACCATTTGTTAGCTCATGGGCCTTAAAGGCATTTGAGTTTGCATAACTTATCTCCCAACAAGATTTTAAGTTCCTTATGGGCTAAGACTATTGTCCAAGTGGTATGTGCTGAGCAGAAGATCACTAAATCTGTTTAAATTAATTTATTGCTATGTATACAACTATTTTTGGTAAGTAATGTCATTCATGTGTTTAAAATTCTTATTACTACGTCTTTAGGGTGTTCCTCTATGCTATGTTTGGGAAATGATTTAATGGATAAGGAGGAAAGAGGTTTCATATAAATTTCAAATTCAAAAATATATGGAAATAAAATTATACGAGACAATGGGATACATAAAAGGACTGTAATACTGAAATACAATAATCTAAAGGAAAGGACATTGGCACCCTGATTTATATGAACCCTATAAAATAGTTGTACATCAAGCTAGAGTTTTACATTTTACCTATCAACTTTTAAAGATAGTCTAAGGAGTACAGAATGGAAAAATCATATTTACTGCTTTATTTCTAATATCCTGTAGATTATATCCTTCCCATTCCATGTTATAGATAATGCTTTTGCAAATAAAAAATTTGTTATAGGACCATAATTTGTGTAGACGTTTGATATATTTTTACACATTTTTTTCAGAAGCTACAGAAAGAAAACCCAGTCATGTTTGGTCACGGTAGAATGAGAATGAGTTAATAGGGAAGCTAGCTTAAAATAATTTCTGTCAAAGAAGGGGGATCCTGAGGGAAAGAAATTACTTTTGATTCAAGCTGAGAAATGAAGTAAATCCCCTATTTTTAAGCAAGCTGATGAAGTGACAATTTTGAGAACCAATACTAAATATGTACCTTCAGGGATGACCACCCAATTAATTCCATTCTTGCTGACATTTATCATCACATTAGAAACTTCTTAATGCACATTAGTGCAGCAAAAATGGATTGCATGAGAATGAAAGATAAAGGGTATTTATCTCCTATACCTACAAAGAAGCAAAATGTTATTTCAGGGCTTTATAGAAATATAATCATGATGTGCTGAACTAAGTAAACTAGCGTAGTGGAGATACTCCACAATCATCCTCACTTGATTAACTCGTGAATTTTTAGACCTAAAAGATGTCTATTAAAGCCAATGGGTATCATAAAGCTAAAATTATCTACCATGCCAGAATAGGACTGGCCCAACATTTCTTTTAAAAAATTAACTATCGCATCACCTTATCATGTAAAAGGGACCTTAAATTTCTTAATGTTGCTTTCCCTGAAATAGACATATAATCAGAGAAAACAAGAATTACTAGCATTGGGCTGATTTTCATTCTTGAAGAACTTTCCAGAAATATTAACCAATGCAATGTCCTTCTGAAATAGTTATTTGTGATGGAGAATAAAACTTAGGCAAATCACAGTTTTTCTAAGCTCACAAAGTCAGCAAATAAAAAATTAGAAATAGTCAAGGCTTTTAGAGCCTGATGTATTTTAGGATGATGTTAAAGATGACACAGATAGGAGTTCTTCAAATAGCAACCCAGCCTTTGCTATACACCCAAATGAATAATGCCATTTTGAAACAGAGCAATTAACTTGGCAGCATCTCCAATACAAAGGAGTCTCTGAGAAGACCCAGAAATTTCACAGAAATACTGGCAAGAGTCTTGCATTTTCCACAAGTTTGAAAAAAAGAGTTTGAGTTGATCTGAAGTAGATCTGAAAGGACAGGATGATATTCACAGATCTGTGACTACCATACTACATGTAGATGCTCATTGGGATATTGGAAACCATTTGCTGAAGTCATTGGATTTGAGGGGCTCGTTTTAGAACCCTAAAGGTAAAATTACTAGTGAATTATTTAGGTTGGGAATGAAGTAAGATAGACTAAGAGATACCATAATGAGGAGAGAACCAAGGGCAGTAGAGCAGATGGCTTTAAACCATCTGTCTGTCATATCCGAAGAATCTCAGCCTTCTGCTTTCTTTCTTTGTGCTTTTGATAGGCGTCAGGGATGGGTAAGGGAGTGATTAGCTTTAGGCCTACTCCTGAAGTCAAAGTTTTCGCTAACTGTGTAGGTGCGTGTTATAGGAAGGTTTGAATGGCAGGAGGCAGGAATGGCTAGATGGGAATCACAGCTAAGAGGGAGAGGTGGTAATCACAGCTTACGGCAAGGGGTGGTATGGGACCTAGAGAGTCTAGAAGCCAGAACAGAGCAGGGAGTTGGAAGGAAGAATAACAAGAGACCCAGAGAGCATAAAAAAAGGCAGCCAAAAACCTGGAGACCAGAATATAAGACAGGTTTAAAAAATGGGCCATGAAAAAAAGGTGGGCATGGAAGCCGGGCTTCCAGCTATGATGTATGAGAAGGTCAACAAATCTTTCCACAAAAATCACTTGGTCAAAGTTGCTAACAAACAACCATTTGGGGGCTCTGGGAATTTATCAAAGGCAAACAACAAATTGGGGGGGGGGGATGTTTAATTTAGGAAAAACTGCTAGAGCTGGAAGTAAGTAGAACAGACGTATATAGCCTAGCCGAGGACTGCTCCCATCCCTCCCAGCTCGGTCCATGAGAACTTACTTTTATTAGGATAGGGCTGGCTGGACAATCAGCAGCTTTTTGCCACAGGGGGCGGACTCATTTAGGAGTAGGAGTGAAAACTTGCAGCTCTGTCAGCTCAAACTGTTGAACTTGTTAAAAAATAAATGAGGAAGACCCATAGCTTTGCTAGCCTGAAATTATAATTCCCATTGGGGAGAGCAATGGACCAGCCAGAAATTTAAAAGTAAGATCCTGGAACTAAGAGTCTTAGAAGGGTGAGATAAGTTCTCCACACATCCCTGGCTGGCTGGGAAACCAGGAACACATAGAGAGGACAGCAGAGAGTGCCCAGTGGGAAGTAAAATCACCAACTGGCAGAGGGTAAAAGCCCTACAGGCTAGAAAAGTTTGAGTAAAGCCCAACCCTGATTGCCTGAGCACTAAACTATGCAGATACAAGGACAAACTCTAGGAAGTGAGGCTAATAAATTTTAAAAAAGAATTTAAAAAATAAGCTAAGACCTCCACAGCTGCATATCATAGGGGACACGGATTCTGTAGTGTAAGTCCAGGAACATCACTTTTTAAAAAGTCTCAGAAAAATCAGAATCCACAGTTGCTAGAATATATGAAATGTCACTTTCACACTTTCAACAATGAAGATTTTAAAAAATAAAATGACATTTTCAATATGACAAAATATGCTATTCAAAGAAAAAGTATAAAGCCAATAAAAAACAATCAATAAAAATTGATTCTAAATGATCCCAGTGTATTTAGCAGACAAAAATTTGAAAACAGCCATTATAAATTAGTTCAAAGAAATAAAATAAGCTATATTCAAAGAATTAATGTAAAATATTATGATAATGATTCAAGAAATAATCACAACAGAAAAACAAAAACTATAAAAGGCATCCATATGGGAAGAAAAATCCAATAACCAAAATGAAAAATGTGTTAGATGAGTCAACAGCAAATCTGAGAATGCACAAGAAAGAATCAGTGAATTTGAAGCTAGAGCAATAGAAATGATCCAATCTGGAGAACAGAGAGATAAACATATTGGAGAAGTGGGCCATAGCAGATCAGAGTCAAAAGTGCTAGCAAGAATGAACAAAAAGTCATCTAAACCTGAGCAGAAGGGAGTCTCAATTGCAAGCCTCTTATTCATTTGTAAAATGGGATAATAAGTAGTACTTAGATCTCACAGAATTGACAAGAAGATAAAATGAATTAAAACATATACAGCGCCCTACCCAGTTTGGCTGGGTGGAGAGAGCGTTGGCCTGCGGACTGAAGGGTCCCGGGTTCGATTCCGGTCAAGGGCATGTACCTTGGTTGGGGGCACATCCGCAGTAGGGGGTGTGTAGGAGGCAGCTGATCCATGTTTCTCTCTCATCAATGTTTCTAACTCTCTATCCCTCTCCCCTCTTCCCTGTAAAAATCAATAAAACATATTTTTCAAATAAATAAACCATGTACAGCACTTTCTGGCATACTGTAAGCACATAATTGTTACCTGCTGTCATCATCATCACACACATTTTGTTAGGGGGAAAATATCAAGGCTAGCCCTAGCCCAAAAGTTCCTAAGGAAACTTTCTTATCTTCAGGGACAGTACCTACAGGCAACTGGAAAGAAAGGGGATGAATCATTAACTACTATTGGGAGGAAATAAGCTATCAATTCTTTGGCACTCATTGTCTCATCAAATATCCTCTAGTTACTTACTAATTATACAATTACTTCTACATTTGTAACCATACTTTATTTTTTTAATATTTGTTCTTTAAAATCTTTAAAGGTTCTGACCTGAATGTGACATTCTAGAAAAATTTATCATATATAAGTTATATATAACAAGATCTAGAAGTGCTTTAAATGCTGGCATCCTAATAAACCCTAATAAGCCTTCTTTTGATATGCATTGATGCTAGGAGTGAAAGAGCCATAATTAAACTGAACAAGTGATTCATACAACAGCAGAAATAAGAGTTGCCAAAACATAACACAGATTTTGCCAAAGCAAGATAACTGGCAAGCCAGTTACTCTGATTTGAGGGGAATTACAAAGTCTGGTCCAAAGAGACTCCTCTTCCCACCAACATTATTTATCTATTTCACTTTTTTTTTTCTTTTTTTTTACTCACTCTGTTTTTGGAACAGCTTTTCTCAGCCAGAAGAAATCAGACTGTGCTAAATACTTGCGCGTTTGCAGGACGTTGCCAAAGTAGTCAGATTCTGAAAACTTGATCTGCATAAGACAAACCATAAGGATCATTGTTCTAAGTGCAGATAAGAGGTGGCTCTGAAAAAAAAGACTTCAGCGCACAAATGAGTGATCAACAGAAGCTGCACTCTTCACTGCCTCTCTAACCATCAGCAGTTAACAAAGTATTCACAAAGCCATGAAAATTTCATCTCGGTGATTTTCTTTTAAAATAAAAAGCACAAAAATCAATATGGTCATTTCTGGATCACAGTGAGGGGAAAAAAAAAAAAAGAACAAGGCAAGCCGCAATAATTTACAATGTGTTTCCTTTGCTTTATAATTGAGAAATCTACTTTAACCCTTACAGAACGTATTATCTTAGGTTTGAAATTTCTTGGCCCACATGATTCTTTGAACTTTTCTAAAATGTATATCTTATTTTTTGTCACATAGGTTTCTTCTAGTAACATTCAGTTTTGTCAACTGAAACCTCATTTAGCTTATAGACGATTATTTTAGTCCAATGTTCAATCTAATTTACTGTATTCGACATTTGCTCATGAATGGAAAAAATAAAAGCTATTCAGAGACTTATTTTCCACCACAAGCACAATTGAGTCACAAGGACAATTTAATTATTAATAGAATTTATTTATTAACACCCAAAAATATACTGGTCACCAAAAATTAATGAAATTACAAAGGCAAGTCATAGATTACAGCTTGCATGGAGAAACAAGAAGTTGTTGGCTCACAACAATGTTGTCTAATAAGATAGAGAAACAGACATAATTGATTCTTGAGTTCCCTTTTCTTTTTGAAAGGAAAATGGCAGGCAGTTTCAATTCTATAGGCACTCTCTACATAAAATTAGGAGTATTTAGTTAAAATATTGCAAGTAATATCTGTGTAAAAGTAAAAGCTATGGTTTTAATGACCTCTAACGCTTTGGTTTTAATATATAATATTATATCATATATATATATATATATATATATATATATATATATATGTATATACATATATATATATATATTGTAATAAGCAAATAACCAAGAGAATTAAATTCTTATTAATTGTAATATTTTGTTAATTTAAACCATGAAACTCTTTTATAGGTAAAAAATTAAAGTGCAGCAAGTGAATGTACAGAAAACCCACGGGGATTACAGTACAGATATAAATGTATATTTACAACTTGATGATTACAGACTTGACAGCGGCTTATTTGTTGGCCAATGTCTGGCTTAGGTTTATCTCTTCCCTAACATATAGTGGGTACCCATTATGTCTGTAGAGTAACTTTGTTAGTGATCCAGTTTAGTCTTTACAGGGGGCCAGGCCAAAATCGAAATAAAGGAGTAAATAACTAAAAACACCAGTAGAAAAGGCAGGAATGAAAATATCAAATTCTGGCATCCTTGGTGTTCTACTTGACCAACCAGTTATCTACACTAATAAAAGAGAATTATGCAAATTGACTGTACCTCTGCAACTCCCACCAGCCAATCAGAAGTGAGCATGCAAATTAACCCAACAAAGCTGGTGGGTTAATTTGTATGCACAGGCAGGGAGTGGCCAGGCGGGATGAGACGCCTGCTATGAGGGAGAAGTCAAAGGGCAGAGGGAGCTAGAGGAGCAGTGCTCTAGCCAGAGCGAAGAAGACTGAAGGCTCTGGCCTGATCTAAGAGGGAAGGTGGTGGCCAGAGCAAAGGCCTGGGTCCTGGGTACCAGAGAAAAACCGGTGGAGGCAGCCAGGGGAAGGAAGGCCTATTGCACGATTCTTCATGCAATGGGCCTCTAGTAAAGATATAACTTTTAATTGTCCCTCCATCAATCCTCTTATGGAGGGTAGCTGATAAATAAATAAATTGTGGTATAATCACATAATGGAAACAATACAGCAGTTTAAACAAATGGCTTGTATGCATGAATATGAAATCATCTGAAAAGCAATGCTGAGTAAAACAAGTTATATATCTGAAAGAATTTAAAATTTTATAACATGTAAAACAATAATGCATGTTGCTTACAGATATGTACCTATCTTTAGCAAAAGCATAAAGAAATGCAAGGGAATGATAAACACTGAATTTAAAATAGTGATTATACCTAGGGAAGAGGAAGGCAGGGGAGAAGGATATTACAATAGGTCAATGACAAATGTACAAAGAATTTCCAATATATGTTTTATTCATTTAAAATATGTGTGTGTGCCGAAACCAGTTTGGCTCAGTGGTAGAGCATTGGTCTGCAGACTGAAAGGTCCCAGGTTCGATTCCGGTCAAGGGCATGTACACTGGTTGTGGGCACATCCCCAGTAGGGGTTGTGCAAGAGGCAGCTGGTCAATGTTTCTCTCTCATCGATGTTTCTAGCTCTCTCTCTCCCTTCCTCTCTGTAAAAAATCAATAAAATATATTTTTTTAAAATTAAATAAATAAAATATGTGTGTGCGTGTATAAAGTTAATATGGCAATATGTTTAACGTTTGTTAAAGCTATTTGTTCAAAATATGATTTTACCTACTTTCCCAATGTTTATGATTCTTCATATTAAAAAGAAATCTTATAATAAATGGTATTTTAAGGTAGATATTCGTACTCAGCCTCAGAAGAAACAGAGTAAGCGCCTTGTTTTAGGAAGCAACCTCATCTAATAATTCTAATGTATTCCAAGTTTTAAAAATGTGTCCACTATTCAACCCTTAGCTTTTTTCAGTTTTGTTCCCAAGATAGTTCTGCCAGAACTCTCAGAATATGACTGTAACAGAAAATTCAGAAACATTCTTGTGTTCAGAACAATTTCCAGGAAATTCTCCCAAAGGAATTTCCATCAAAAATATTAATTTTTTGCCCTGGCAGGGTGATCAGTTGGTTGGAGCTACATCCTGTGCACCAAAGGGTTAACGGTTCAATTCCCAGTAAGGGCACATGCCCAGGTTGTGGGTGCATATGGGAGGCAACTGATCGATGTTTCTCTCTCACATTGATGTTTCTCTCCCCCCCTTCCTCTCTCTCTAAAAAAATCAATAAATACGTATTTTTTTTAAATATTAACATTTTTGGTAATATCAACAGAATCAGTTGTTACTTTTAGAAGAGTTTACTATTTGTGAGATTATCCTGTTCATTTAAAGAAAAAAAAACTTAACATTCAGGTTGTTCTACAGATACCAAAAGAAAACCAACCAAAAGTTTCCTAAAGAAGAGTCCCATGTCTAAAAATACTTTTAAGTAAGGTCCTACACCACATCCATGAAAATAATCATGAGGACCAAAACTCAGAGGTAAGTAATTACAATTTGTCAACAGCTTATCATAGGTATATTTAGAAGAACAATTTAAAATATGTTTTATTAAATGAATATTTGCTATTAGCTTGGTTTAGTTGATCTATTCCATTTATTTAATGGAGATTACAGGGGATAAGAGACAAATTTTACTTTTTCCTGTGAGACAGGTTAAGTGTGGGGGTAGAAAAGGGTCAGCTATAAATATTATCTTGTGATAGATGGGATACAGTTAGAGAAATTATGCAACTTAGCAAAGCCACACAGTCCAGAGCATTAGGTTCCTACTTCATTGTTATTTTCATTAGTCTTACTAAGAAAACCAGTGATTTAACATAAGGAGTACAGAGAATAAGGGGGAAAAGGTAAAAATTACAGTAAGAGAAGCAATGATTAAATAAATTATGGTACAGTTTAGTTTACTTAACATATGCAGCTGTTAAAATAATGGTAATGAAGGCTACACAATACAAGGACAAAATAATAAAGGTCAGTATACAAAACTGTATGTTAACATCAATTGCAGCTATCAAAATAGAAAGAAAGAAGACACTAAAACGAAATTATGTATTAGCACGTTTGAGTACCAACATCATGGGTACTATCTCATTCCTTTTCTCTAGTTCCCAAATTTCTACCATGTGAGAATACTTTGATAATTTCAAATATTTTAACAGGTCCTTGGGTAAGAAACAACAATGCAACTCAGCAACCACTGGACAAGTTCCACTTGTAGAGATAGTAACAAGAATGAATGCACATGAATATTTTAAAACCACGTGTAATCTTCAAAAAATGTTTAAACTCTGCAAGGGACAATAGTTGGCTGAACAGCTTCTTGTCCTTATAGTTACTGGTGAAAATCTAGGTCAAGTTGGTAATGACTTTTAATCAATTCCATCGCCTGACTTTTCTATTGAGCGACCTTTGCAAAATTAATTGGGGCTCTTCTGTCCTTTCCTAAGAATAGCTATCCAGATCATAAAATTTAGTGGAATCTGAATTTCTCACCAAATGCCACAGACTAAATAGGAGAATAAAGCTACTTCCCAACACACCAAAGGTGAAGAAGATGTAGTAAGGGCTGAGCACGTGTGTTTAGCTTCTCTGCAGAATCACTAAGTACATGCTGATTGAACACTACATAAGTCAATAGGAAGTATAGATTCTAGAATACTTTTTGTTTATGTCAAATCCATTTAAAGAGACTCAGAGATATATCCAAATATATATAAGCAAGATTTTATATTAGGCACACAAAGAACTTTCTGAATACTTCATGCATCCAGACTTTTTATTTATGCTTTCCCTTATTTAAATAGGAAAGCAATATGCAAGGTTGTTTGATTTAGATGGCTTTGTCCACAGTAGTATGCCTGTGTGTACATGTGTGTACACACCTACGTTCAAAATGTTTAACAACCTTCAATATACAGTACACTGCAGAAGATGCAGTTCCCACAAGCAGCCACATAAAGGTGGGGTAGCAGCAGGTAGCACACCGAACAGGAACTAGATGGCACCAGATGCCCTGTCGCCACCACCAGGGCTAAAGGGAGGTCTTGGTCTGCTCTGGCCAGTGGAGCACGCTACATGAAGGCTAGGGTGTGGGGGTTACAGAGGGCTGGCTGGAAGGTTGGTGGACGCCCCCTTCCTAGGTCCACTCTTGGCTCTCCAGGGCCATGATGGCCAGAGATCACTTGGGAGGATTGAGGGCAACGTTTTATTTTGATCTACTAAATAGTACAGAGGTATTTCAAAGTTTTAACAACCTCTTTCTGGAGCATTCCACCTAAATATTGCCTCGCTCTTGCATAGTGGCAGTAGCACTCTCCATCGTTTATACACACATAAAACACACAACACATATAAATATTTGTACATTTTTACACACACACCACATATATATCAGTGCTCCACTGGCCATAGCAGACCAAGACCCACTCTAGAGAATATTATGTGGGTTCACAAAATACCTGTACATCTCTATATGTATGTTTATGTTCGTATGTGTGTTTGTATCATTCACCAGAAACATTGATCTTTTCTGAAAATTTACCCATATCCAGCCCTGACTGAGATGTCTCAGTTGGTTGGCATTATCCTGAACAATACACCAAAAGTTACCAGTTCAATTCCCGTTCAGGGCACATGCCCAGGCTGAGGGCTTGATCCCTGATAAGGGGCATGTAGGAGGCATTTGATTGATGTTTTGCTGTCACATCTGTGTTTCTCTCCCTCTCCCTTCCTCTCTCTCTAAAAATCAATAGAAAAACGTATTTTTTAAGTTACCCATGTCCAATTCTCCTAAGTAAATGGATGTCAGCTGTGATTCTGACTTTAGTCCCTACTACAATTCTCTGCTAGCTTTCACTAGAATGAGTCAAGTGCCTAATGGTGCCGATTACTTACTTATTGTCTCTCGGATACATGCCCACCCTTTTACTCTGTTCTAGGACGCTGGGGCTGGGCATCTGAAAACTATGTTTCCCAGGCTCCATTGCCAGTGAGCTCCCTGCCGATAGGAGGGACTGGGGGACAGCAGCAGGTGGCAGGAGGAGAAAGAATTCTGTGTTTGATCTTTTTCATCCTTTCTCTCCTCTTTCTTTTTCTAACATTGACTGTAGACAAATCTTCATCTCCTCCTCACAGACCCAGCTAAAATGGCAGTTCCTCCTCCCTTTCTCCTAAATGATGGTACCATCACTTCCTCCCTTTTGTGCCCCTAGATACAGGGGTGGTAGTAGCTTCCTGAAGTTATTATCTCTGGTCTACTTCACCTTCCTGATTCTTGCCTTCCCAACTATCTCCTGTATGAAATCTCCTCTCTTTGAAATACCTAGTGTGGTCTGGGCTTTTCTTGATGATACCATAATCTTTCCAAGGTCGATATCATACCAGTCTTGAGTCTATTTCCACCAAGGAGCAATAAAGGACCAGTTAGTAAGGCTAATTTGAAAATGTACTAACACCTACCTTTTTTGGCTAACTAGTAGGCTTTCCTGTATGGTACTGGGGGTTCACATAGAGGTCATTTCCTTCATTCTTGCTCTTCTCAAAGACTACAAAAAGGTTATTATTCAGAAACAAATGGGTGTATCAATTTATCTTCTCTTCTTCAAAGGTTGGGGGGAGGGGGACAAATTTTCTCTAATTCTTTACATTTGCCTCTAAGTTCTTACTCATTTGCTCTTATCTCAGTGCAGGCCCAATTTCAGTTTTGAGCCTTTCTCCTTGACCTTCATATAATCCATTACCCAATGTCTATCCTCTTTCCTTTTATGTTTGTACCTGGTAAATCATATCTTCACTTGTGTCAAATAAACTAAGCTGTTTTTCATTTCTAAAAGCATCTCTCTTGCTCAGAGCTTGTATAACCAGACATTTCTTATAGGCCCTATAGTAGTTCTTATCTACATATTTCTCCAAACTGAAAATACAGTCCCATTGTGTACCTGCAATACTTTAGTCCTTTTGCTATTAACATCAGTGACACTATTGCTATCACATCAAGCAAGCATCCTTTACCTATTTTCTTTTTTTTTTCAAGTTGCATTCTATTCGTATTCTCTATTAGTTTCCAAACACAATTGTATTGTATTTTTATATATTTGAATTTTTTCACTGTCTGGTTTTTAAAGTGTTATAAACTCTTGGGTGTAATTGTGTCTGCTTATTAAAAATGTTTTTATTGATTTCATAGAGGAAGGGAGAGGGAGAGAAAGACAGAAACATTAATGATAGAGGGACTCATTGATTGGCTGCATCCTGCACCCCCCACTAGGGGGTTAAGCCCACAACTTGGGCATCGAACTGTAACCTCCTGGTTCATAGGTTGATGCTCAACCACCGAGCCATGCCAGCCAGGCAAATGTGTCTGCCTCGGCAATGAGCTACACAAAAACCATTTCTTTGCAAAAGTGCTTAAAAATCTTGGTTTCTAATGGCTTCTGTTCAGACCTTGAAGAAATGAGGGAAAATGCCCAACAATGCATCCTGTTCAGCATCTGGTTTCTTTTGACAAAAGGTACCATATTCGGTGAGTCAAAACATGTGGCGCGCTGACTTTAAATAGCAGCACACTGCCAACGAAATATGGTCAACTGAATAGTGTGAGTGAGCCCTAAATACTACCTTATTTGATTAAAGCTTGAGACTGTTCCATTTGTACAGCCTTTTCAATTAATTGGGATACCTGGATACTAGATGAGTTAATTCACAATGGCTTTTCCAAAGAAAAATAATTTACTATCATAAGTACAAGCTGAAGATGTCATAATTCACTTTTATATTGTGCTTATTGTGCACCAGGATCAGTTCTCAATACTTGAAATATGTTAACTTATCTGATCCCCACAGCAGCTTTATAAGGGAGGGATTATTATTATCTCCACTAGAGGCCAGATGCACGAAATTTGTGCAAGAGTAGGCCTTCGCAGCCCCCTCTGCCTTGCGGTCCTGGCTGTCTCATGGCCCTGCCCCCACCCACTGGTCATTTGGAAGGTCTGTCCACCTTCTGGTCTAACTAGCATATTAGCTCTTTATTATATAGGTTGTTGACATGAGGAAACTTAAGCACAGAGATCCTAGTTCACATAGCTATGAAACGGTAGACCACTTCATCATCACCAAACTGCCTCTCAAACCTTCTTATCTGTACCCTTGACTCGGAATATTTGCCGATCGCATGTAATTGTACAGGTTCTCCTGCAAAGGTACTTTGTGTCCTGATGATATTCTTCTTAGCAGCAACAGTTCTCATACTAACCCACAAAGTAACAGCTACCATTCATAGGGAGCCTACTTATGTGCAGTCATTATGGTAGGTGCTTTTACATTTATTTAGTCTCCCTTAATAATCCCAGAAATACTAAGACTTGGTTATTATCATCTCCAATATCCACATAACCAAAGGAAGCTAAATGAAGTTATGCAAGCTATATACAAAACCAAACTAGTAAGTGGAAGAGGCAGAACCACTCCAAAGCCTGCGCTGTTACAACTGGACAAGATGACCTTCCTTCTTCTCTCCGCCCTTCCAACCAGCAAGCAGCTCCACCAATTCTTCAAACCCAGCCCTCTGTCCCTCCAGCATGGCCCCCTGACAAGGACCCTGCAGAACCCCCTTTCAGATTACAGGCCGAGCTTCCTAGGCCCAGATTTCAGTTCTGGCTCTAATACTCTGTGCCAGTGGTAGGCAAACTCAACAGAGCCAAATATCAACAGTGCAACGACTGAAATTTCTTTTGAGAGCCAAAAACCGACTTCTGCGCATGAGCCATGAGGTTTCAACCGCACTGTACATGCACGCTAGCATGTGGTATTCTGTGGAAGAGCCACACTCAAGGGGCCAAAGAGCCGCATGTGGCTCAGGAGCCGCAATTTGCCTACCACTGCTCTGTGTAGACTGAGGAAATCGTTTAACTCCTTTGAGTCTCTATTTCCTTTCCTGCGAAATGGGGCTAAGCACCATGTACTTCAGAGGACCACTATGATGCTTAAAAGATAACGTAAACAAATGTGTCAAGTGCATTAGTATTTTAATTATCATAATAACTGCGAGCTTTTTCAGCATCAAAACAATGTAGAATAAGATAGGTGTCTGAACTTTGGGATACTGTGAAGCATAATTATCTTCCTCCATGGCAACTAGATCAATACTTGGAAAGGCATATCTTAGAGCCCAATGGAAAAACTCTCTAATTAAAGCCTTCTCTCACTTATGAATAACCTTGCAGAATTCTGACATTCATCTACAAAGCTGGAATTGCTTTCAGATATACAACTTGTCAAACTTCAATTTCAGAACCGGTTATTTAAATAATTCCAAAAAAAAGTACTTTTACAAGAAAATCCAGTGAATTGTTCAAACAGGAGTTTTGTAAGGAATCACAATTCTTTATCAGAAGTATTTAAAGAAAAGGAAATAACAGTGGTTGTGATTAGAAATACGTGTAGTGAATACATCTATTGGAAAATACATGTCCCAAAATATTGGAATAAAAAAGAATTATTAGTATTCCTACATCACTAACTACTGAAAATATACAGTCCAAGTCACAATAAATTATAGTCATATGTATACTCACTTAATTTGCAAAAACACTCACAAAGTTTAATGACATTAACTCCTAACTGGCAGATTTATTATTCATGATTTAATATGAATGAAGCCCATAAAGATTAACAACGAATATCATACATTCACCATAAGAACATACCCACTGATTGCAAAATACTCAATTTGTTTCATTCTTTCCTTTATGATTAAATTAGGCCAAATCCAAGCGTTTTTGCTTTATGGTACCTACTCAGCTATACATTCTTTCTGACACTTCCTGATTTTGAAGCTGTTCTAAATCTTGTGATATGCCTGAATATTAAGGCTCATTTCTAGCCAACAAATGAATAAAAAGTTGGTGCTCTCTGGCACCACCAGGTTTAATTGCTTGGACCTGGGTTAGCTGAAAGGCATGAGGCCAGTAAAACTTGCCAGAGGGAAAAAAAATACAGTAAATTTAGCACTTACTGCTTTGAGGTCTTCATTAACATAAGTATCATTCATTATAAACTCAGGATAGCCAACTTTTGACAAAACAGCTCTTGCCTATAGAAAGGAAAAAGAAAATGTATGTCAGCGTTTCAGCACTTAAACCATTAATAATCACAGAACGTAGGAATGCAACCTTCACCTGAAAACTACATTCACAGAATACATACCATATGCAACCCACTGTGAAGGGCAAAAAAAATTGTTAGTCACTGCCCTAAAGCACTAAAAAAGAAACTACAGTGAATGTAGCAAATAGCTGTATGTATAACATAAATAAAACAAAGGTTTTAATAAAAATAGACACTATTGTTATCAAAGTCCAGAGCAGAGATTACTTCCACATGGGGAGAATGCTTAATGGAGCACGGGCCAAACTGACTCTTAATAGAATGGTTGGGATTTCAAATTGCAGAGCCGAGCAGAAGGGCACTCCAGGAGCGGAAGCAGCGGGAGCAAAGTCAGGGAGATGGAAACAAAGGGCATGTGGGAGAGATGGTGAGTAGCTGCTATACTTGGACCAGGAAGCACATGGGCGGGAAGCAGAGAACAGTACAGAATAACCAGCTGGAACTAGATCACAGGGTTTCCCGAACACTATGCTAAAGAGTCTAGATTTTATTTTACAGATAACAGAGGACTAAATATTTTTAGCAGGAGTGAAATGAGAGAAGCCACACTTCAGCAAGATTATCCGTGCAAAATTGTGAATGGTGAAAGACTGGAGGTAGGGGGTCCAGCCTCATTTAGGATGCATTATAACCATCCTTTTGACAGCCATCCTAATTATTCCCTGTGTTTTGCAGCATATACAGGATGGATAAATCAATCACCTTAGGCACATATTGTACAATGAACCTCCACAAGAGGAACAGGCAAACTATGGCTCCTAGGCCAAATCTATTCCTCCCTCCCTCACACCTGCTTTTATAAATAAAGTTTTATTGTGACACTGCCATGCCCACTCATTTACATGCAATCTATGACTGGTGTTGCACTGTAGTGATGTTGTTGACTAGTTGGAACAGAAACTCTGTGGCCCACAAAGCCTCAAATAATACTACCTGGCCCTTTATAGAAAAGGTTTTCCAACCCTTGCATTTGCAAGTGAGCATTTTTCTCTCTCCTCTCCTCAGATTCTGGGTTTCATAAAGACAAAAGAGCAGTTTATTCAAAGAGTAAGTACGTTATTGGGGCTTTCTCCAAGTCTACCGGGATCCCTTTAATCACTTGTGTACATCCCCTCCTCAACATCTATATTCTTTTTCCAAAATATATTTTTATTATTGATTTCAGAGAGGAAGAGAAAGCTAGAAGCATCAATGATGAAAGAGAATCAATGATCAGCTGCTTTCTGCACGCCCCACACTGGGGATTGAGCCCGCAACCGGGGCATGTGTGCCCTGACTGGGAATCAAACCATGACCTCCTGGTTCATAGGTGGACACTCAGCCACTGAGCCATGCCAGCTGGGCTCTTTTTCCTTTCTAATGGCCAGCCCCTGAGAGCGTGAAGGTCCCTGGGAGTTTATCTGTCTCCAAACACATCCCCATACCAGCAGCCCTCAGCTAGTGACTGACTGACTGACTTGCGGGAGCATGAGAGCCCAGCAGCTCCGTTGCAGTTCAAGACAAACTTCAAGGTATAACTGGTGCTCCGGAGTTCCCCCAAGGATCAGTCTGTCTGAGATTTCCCCTGAAATTTGGCCTTGCCCATCTCTCACCCTTCCCTGTCTAGCTTCACTCATTCCCTTGCTGCTTGCTCTTGAGAGCACCTGCTGAATAAATCAAAAATCACTTGCACAAAAATCCTCATCACCAGCTTTGCCTCTGGCTTGGCCAAGATAAGACCCCAGGCAACCCCAAAAACATTGAGTATTTTTCCAGCAAAGTGAAATCAGTAACCTTTACACACTGCTCTTGGTAATGAGTTTTTTCCTTCACTCCCTTTCAATTTGCCTCACTCAAAATATAAATAGAATTAAGATAGTACATTTTCCTTATCTTCTTGGAGATAATTCAAATGTTAAATAGCAGCAGACACCTGAAACTCAGGACTCAGAAAGGATTTTACAAGTGCCCTAGGACACAGTCATAATGGAATTTGCTGTTTCAGAGACGCAAATATAGCATAGGTCAAACTCCGTCTTCAAAGCCCTGTGAGTTACACTGAAAGCCTGATGTGACCCAGATACCAGCTAAGTAGAGTTTACAACTCTCTCCTCAACACCAAACAATACGGCACTGTCTATAGGTGACCACGTTCCAAGATTGTTTCATTACTTTCCTCGTTGTATATAATACCTCATTGCATTTTATCAGCTCACCCCAAGGCACATGCATACCTACAAATAAAGAGCTCCAGACAGTTTTCCAAAAATAAAGACATGTTCAAGCTGAGTCATCCACCATTGTTTTCGTAACACTGGTCTTCCCACAGCACACTGGTGAATTATGCATTGTTTTGCAAATCTCATGCTCTGAGACCCCCCACTGCATTATAAAGTGACACGGAATACATTATCTTCTGCACCAGCTATGCAGGTCATTGAATCTTTTTTTTTTTTTTCTTTTCTTTTAGCAACACCATAACTTGAACAGAGCCAGAGCAGAGAAATGGTTCCTATTCATCTTCCAAGGTTGAATAAGGTAATAATACTAGTAGCAACATTGCCAAAATCTGAACAGAGTTCTCTTCTTCCCAATATGTGCCAAATGAATGTCTTTATTCAAACTTAAATGCTCCTTCTGCCAGACAGTCTGCTGTCAATTCCACACATCCCATCCCACCCCATTCTCCATTCTTCCATGAGAAGCTTCAGAACTACATCTCCCAAAATTCCATGGGCGCGGTTCCAGGTTAGTCTCTGCCAATTAGAAGCACTAGCAGTCACTGTTGGTAGCTGGACAGGTACAAAGACATCTGCAGACAGCAAATCCAACACTTTGTCAGAAGCTTCCAGGCATTCTCCTGAGAAGACCCCTTTTGTGTTAGGGCAGCAGAGATCATTGGTAGACTGCTCTTCACTCCCCAGCCTTCCCAGTGGCTGCATAAGCCCATGTTTCCCCATATTATATATCTTCCTGCTTCATATACTTAGAAGGGCATCTCTATTCCTGAATAAACTCTAACTGATATACACTTTAAGGCAAATAGTGAATACATCACCTTTTAATTTTTTTCCAGAATAAAGGCAATAAAGCACCAACAGTTTAATGACTTGTTGAAGGGTAAAGTATTAGTGAGGCAGGCCTGAAATCAATTGTCTCACATGCTACATGGACAAGAAGCAAAGGCAAGTCCCACTGCAAATACTGAGAGAATAGTGGCATTAATAGATAGCAGATGTATATTAATATTATGTCCTGCAAAAAAATATTTCCTAGCCTACTTGTGGTTGACAAAAAATTCCAGTTTTCCTTAACCAGTGCATGTATTCACACAAGCCTCTTATTCACACAAGCCCCTTATTCACACAAGCCCCTTATTCACACAAGCCTCTTATTCACACAAGCCCCTTATTCACACAAGCCTCTGGGAAGAGTGTGCTCATAACAACTGCCTATTATCTACCCAATATCCATTCTCCTTTCCTTCCCTTACTATCTTACACAAATTCTAATCGAGGGGAATAATCAACCCAACAAAAAAAAAATGCATTGCCCAGCTTCCTTTGCAGCTAGAGTTGGCTGTGGGATGAGATTCTGACCAATGACATACAAGAAAGTCTTTGGTCCACTTTCACAAATCCATTTTCAAACAGGATAGACTCGCCTGGCATATGCTTTCTGCCTTTATGCCAGTTTCTCTGCCTTAGCACTACTGACATTTCAGGCCAGATAATTCTTGTTGTGAGCACTGTCCTGTGCACTGTAGATTTAGCAGCACTTTGGCTTCTACACACTAGATTCTAGTAGCAACACACACACACACACACACACACACACACACACCAAGGTTGTGACAACCAAAAATATCTCCAGGTGTCGCCAAATATCTCTTAGGGACAAAATCACACCCAAGTGAAAGCCACTGTTTTAGCCTTTCCTCTTCTTCCTCTCTGTAATGCTGATGCAATGCTAAGGGTGGAGCAGTTGTAACCACAGGCAATAAACATGAGAAATCTACAGGCTAGTGATGCTGGGAAGAAGCATTAATGGTATCTGAATCCCACCATATCAGGCCTGAAATGCTTTTCCCCCCCTCCAAGACAGGAGGAAAATAAACCCCTTATTTAAGGCACTGCATGACATGTTTTCTATTAGCTGTAGTTGGATGTAATCCTAAAACACCCTCCCATTCATCAGATATAGTTTGAAGGGGGAAAACCAGTACCTACTTCATAAGGTCTTCTGCAGTGATTCAGGGTGGCATATGTAAAGCACTTTTTATTCCATGGTCCAGATGACATGATGAATAAATAGTGCCTTTATACTACACAGGGAAGTATAATAGAAAAAATGACTTCTTCCAAAGGTTTAGACTAACTGTTGGGTGCTTGTTTGGAGGGTCTTGGGGAGGAGCTCAGACCACATCACAACCTTAACTGAATACCTGAACTCCCCTGTGGACATGTCACTCTCTTTGGTCATAGGCCCAGTTTCAGGGGGCCACACAAAATGATGAGAAAGAAGAGCTGTTGACAAATATACCCACAGTGAAAATTTCTGGAGCAAAGCCAGACTCTATGCATGAGGCAGATAACCCAGGCTACTCACATCCCAAAAAATTCTGAGGATTCTTTTGAGGGACCCTATTTGCACACCTCAGAAAATGGATACAAGAAACACTATGAAAGATGATTCTAGAAAAGATCAACAGTTGCCTTTACTATTGACCATCTTAATTTTGCCTTCCCCTTTTCTCTTTCCTGCATCCATTCCTCTCAACACCTAGCTAGCAGGCCCAGGGTATCACAACACTTGCTCTCCGATCATACCCAAACTGGCCTTTCCTTGGCAATACACTGTGCTCCAAATTCATCTCCCTTTCCCTCTTCAACTATCAAAAATGTTATTCCTGCAAGGCAGCTTATCCATCAGATGTCATTGGGTCCT